TCTTTTTGGCATGTTTTAATTCTGTAAGGATATTCCATTGCTTCTTTCTACATGAAATTAGTTTCCATGAAGGTTTAGGCTTGTTTTAGGGTAGATTTTTTTTCCCCCTAACTTCTTGGCTGTAAAGTTCCATCTTCTGTTGTTTTTGAGAATTGTTCAAAATTACAGTTAATTCCTTTCTACTTCCTCTACTTTTATCTGGATTTTCTATTTTGTTTCTTTTGTCCCTTTCCTGGCCAATGTGGAATCTATTTCAACCAGTTTCTCCTCAGAGTGGGACTTCACTCTGGAAGGAAGCTTTGGATGGTTTTGAGAATTCATGGGGCCCAGGTGATCACAGCTATACCATAGACTCCTTAAGGGAACTCAGTCACTCACCCCTGCCAGTCTCAGTTGTTCATAAATGAGCTTGCTGAGGTTTGAATGAGTTATTTTACACTCCTCAGATCTATTAGATGCCATGCTAATTCTCACTGCAGACTTTTCCATAGCTGATACCATTTTGCTCTTGTAGCTATCTCTAATTTGTCCCCATCCACTCATATTTCAGGGTTAATGGAAGAATCATTTTCACTTTGTTTTGTTGTAGATCGTGTCCATGGAGTTTGTTTTTGCTTTCCTACTTATCTTTTCTACTTGTGGTTTTTATGGTTGCATTTGGGGAGATTAAAAAACTGTGCTGCCAACCAGAATCTTCCTCCCAGGAGTTCTCTGTAAATAACAGACCACAGTCTAAATCCTGCTTGCTGCTTGTTTGTGTAGAGCCTGCAAACTAAGAATGGTGTTCATATTTTTAAATAGTTGAAAAAACCTAAAGAATACTATGTCATAGCATGTGAAAATTATATGAAATTCAAATTTCAGTGTCTATAAATAAAATTTTGTTAGAACACAGCCACATTTATTTATTTATATATTATCTGTGGCTGTTTTCATGCCAGCAGCAGAGTTATTGGGACAGATACTATATGGCCCTCAAAGCTGAAAATATTTATTATCTGGCAATTTACAGAAAAAGTTGGCTGACCCTGGTCATATAATATACTTTTTCATGGCTAAATAGTATTCCATTGTGTATATATGTCATAGTGTTCTTAACCAAGTCCCTATTATTGGACATTTAGATAAATTCTAAATTTCATTATTATAGTCATCATTTCATAGCTAATATTAGCATATATATTTTATTACTTTCTTGGGATAAATTGTTACAAATAAGATCGATGGATCAAAAGAGATTATATGCATTTTAAACACTTTTATTGATACTGACAAATCATCATCCATAAAATATATGTCCTATTATATTAAGGATGCTAGTTAAATAAGTTATAGTACATTCATGCAATGAAATTTTATGCAGTGGGTAAAGAAAATGAAGTAGATCTATTTTACTGGTGTATAAAAATATACAACGTATGCTGTTAAGCATTCTAGTTACATATGTAGGGTCTGATTCCTTCATATTAAGGAAATGGGAACACTAGAATACACATACTTAAACTTTTCACAAGAAGCATAGACTACAACTAGATGCTACCAATTTATATACCTACCAGCAGTATGTCTGAATTGTTGCTTTGGCATGCTTTTGTCTGAATGTATCTAATTTTTAAAATTCTCACCAATTTGATAGATGAGGAAAGGACATGTTTTATTTTTACATATCAACTTTTATATTGTTTCCTATGTTCATTGGCTTGAATTAATTCTGTGCAATTTGTGTTCATTGTCAATTTTTTTCCCTGCCATAGTCATCTCTATCTTAGTGATTTATAAAGCTCTTTTTATATATCAGATATTAATCCTTTGGCTTGTCATCTGTGTTTGCTTTTGTATTATATTTAAGGTGATTAATGATGTACAAAAGGTTTTTTCTTTTTTATGCAGTCAAATATTTTTTTTTTATTTTTTATGAGTGGAAACGCCTTTCCTACTTCAGACTTATATAATTGTTGCCCAATATATTTTTCTAGTACTCACTTGATTTTGTTTTTTCAATTTCGATCTTTAATCCATAGGGAATTTATCCATGTAGGCTGTGAGGTAGGGTTTAACTTTATTTTTCAAATACTTAGCCAGTTGTCTTAGTGACATGTATTGCATAAGCCATTATTTCAAGATTATATAATTTTTTCAGATTGTTTTTAAGTGTATAGTTAGAAGAGTTTTAGCAAATGTATGTAATTTTATAGCCACCACTCTAATCAAGATATAGAACATTTCAATTAGCTCCCTTGTGCTCCTTTACAGTCAGTCCCCCACTCCCTGACCCTATACTCTTGCAATTACTAATATGTTTTCTCTCCATAAAGTTTTGCCTTTTCCAGGATGTTATGTAAATGGAATCATACAGTACACAGAGTTTTTGAGTCTTCCTTTTTTCTTGGAATAATGCATTTAAGAGACATCCATGTTGTTGCATGTATAAATAGTTCTTTTTTTTATTTTATTTTATTTTTATTACTGAGTAGTATTCCATGATAGGGCTGTGTCATGGTTTATTTAACCATTGACTTATTCAGGGACATCAAGATTGTCTCCAGTTTTTGGATTTTATAAATAAAGCTGCTAAAACATTCATGCAGAGAAGTACGGCATAGGGAATGTAGTCAATAATACTGTAATAACTATGTATAGTGCTAGGTGGGCACTAGACTAACAGGGAGATCACTGTAAATTATAGAAATGTCTAACAACTATGCTGTATACCTGAAACTAATATAAAATAATATCGAATGTCAACTCTAATTTTAAAAAAAGTATAAATATTAAAAAAATATTCATGTAGAGGTCTTTGTGTGTACATATTTCTCTTGGGTAAATACATGGAAGTGGGATTTCTGGGTCATGCAGTAGGTGTATGTTTTGTTTTATAAGAAACCATGAGACAGTTTTCCATAGTGGCTGTACTATTTTACATTTTCATCAGCAATATATGAGAGATCCAGTTACCCTGGATCCTTGTCAGCACTTGGAATTGTCAGTATTTATTATTTTAGCATTCTATTGGGAGTATCAGGGTTAAGTAATTTATTTAGAGTAATTTGAATGTTTTAAGCAGTGTTTCCCAACTCATCCTTCCATAGGCTTTCTAAGCCTGGTTGCTCCTGACTTGCTCAGTCCATCTCCAGTTGCTCAACCTGAGACAGCTGAGTAGCCATTGTTGCTCTTGTTTCTGTTTTTTTTTTCCTTTCCATTTCCTTTCCTAGGCTTATAGAACCACAAACCATCAGCTGAAAAGGAGCTTAGAATAATCTAGTGCAGGCGTTGACAAAGTTTTTCTGTAAAGGGCCAGATACTTCTGTATCCATGGGACATTGGTTCCAGTGACCTCTGCGGATATCAAAATCCAGGGATACTCAAGTCCCTTATATAACATGGCATAAAACAATGCATACAGTTGGCCCTCTGCATCTGCGGAGTCCCAATCTCAGATCAAAAATACTGTTTTTGATCTGTGGTTGATTGAATCCATGGATGTGAAACTTGCACATACAGAGGGCCAACTATAAATATTTTTGGCTTAGCAAGCCACTTGGTCTTTGTCACAACTCAACTCAACTCTGCTGTTGTAGTATGGAAGCAGCCATAGACAATACAGAAACAAGTGGATGTGGCTGTGTTTCAATGAAACTTTATTTACAAAAACAAGCAGCCTCCTGGATTTGGCCCTTAGGTCATAGTTTGCCAACCCCTGGTTTCTTCTAATAACTTCATTTTACAAATGAGGGGACTGAGCTCAGGTTTTACCGTTTTCCTTTTTTATAAGTAAAGAAAGCAAGGACCAGAATATTGGCTTTCACCAGAAGAGGTACACTTAAATTGAATTCGAGATGAACTTATGCATAATTCCCTGTTCTAGTAAATGGTGTTACATGAAGCTGTTAATATAGGGTCTTTCAAAAGTTTTAGCTGCACTAGACTTTTGGGATATTTTATATTGTCATTTACCTAGATGCTGGTTGACTTTTTGAACCTCTTATATCTCTGGAGCAATGGTCAAATTTGAGTAGTAAGAAAATAAAGGTAAAAATAGTCAAAGTAAGAAAAGTATGCCACCGTTTATTCTTCAAAAGACTTTTCAATTTTGGAGATGTCACAATGTGTTTATCTCTTGAGATAGCCATTAAATGTCACATAACAATCCCATGCTTTTTTCCTCTTTAAAGTTAATTCCTGATTGTTTTATATCATTAAGTATTCAAATATATGAGAATTCTTAGTTCAAAAAAAGAAAAAAAATAACAGGAAACATACACTTATGGTTCAATGCATGCAAACCTAAAAATAAGCATTGGCTGTGAGAACGCGGGGAAAGAACATTATTTAGAAAAATAATTGTATACTTGTATTTTTCTTTCTTCTAGCACTGGAAGAAATATGACATCTATGAGAAGCAAACCAAAGAAGAAACTGACTCTGTAGTGCTGATAGAAAACCTGAAGAGAGCCTCTCAGTGATGGGGATAATTTATTTGAACCTTCAATGTGACCTTGTGAAGATTGATCCCATTCTCCATTTGTTAACTGGGAATTTATTAAATGGAAACTGAAACTACTGGACCATTTAAAAACAGGCAGCTCATAAGAATCACAGGTCTTTATGTTGAGTCATGCACCAAAAAAACAAAACTAATGGCACTCTGGAGAAGAGAGTGGAGTCATTCTCACTGAATTATAAAAGCAGATATCTTTTACGAAGGCTTCAAACTAGGGGACAAAGCAAAAGGTGATGATCACAGTAGAGTTTAATCTTAAGAGTTGTGACAACTTCCTGAGTGATCTGTGTCTGCTTTGTATTCTTTGTGTCATATAATATCAACAAATTTTATTTGTGGGGGAACTCATTTTGGGTGTAAATGCTAATGCCAAACTTGAGTCACAGAGAACATCTAGCAAACAAAATTGACAAAATCTGTTGTTTGGAATCCCACTAAGTAATGTTTGTGGCTGTTAAAACTTAAGAGTCTGAATCATCATCTCTTCAGCAGCATTTTCCTCTGCTTTGAAAGGCCCAGACATCAGTGTTGGCCATGATGATAACTACAGAAAAAGAGGCAGCTTCTTTTTGCCAAGACCTTTCAAAGCCATTGCAGGCATTTTTTTTTTGTCTTCTCCTTTTTTTAATTAAAAATTATTGAGGTGACATTGATCAATAAAATCCAATAAGTTTCAAGTGTACAATTCAACAGTATGCCATATATACATTTCAATGTGTGTTCACCACCCATAGTTAGATTTCTAGGCCTTCGAAGGCAGCAAAGACAGAATGACTTATTGGGTATTAGACTTTGAACCATGCAGTCTCTAATGATACATTGTTTTTTCTTTACTTCTGTTACTCAAATCAAGTATTTACTATGTATCCAGATTGTACTAGGCACCCAGGTGTGAGGCACCGACTCTCTCAAATGGTTGACAATTCTGATTGAGACTCCTCAGTTCTTACCACTTTATTTTTCTCCACAAGTCATTCTTCAGACCTTTCAACTCCCCAATTCCCACACTAATATCCCATTTTACATTCTCCCTCACTGTAGTCTTTCACCTTTCATTATATATTAGAATATAAATCTGCTCAGAATATCTAGGGGAGCAAGGAGTGAGTTGCAGCTCAGGTAAAGTGTGAGTAGACTAAGAAACAGTGATGAATTCTTGTATATTTTGTAACTTTTTTTTGTGAGTTTGCTTTTATTTGAATATTTTCAGCACTTACTATTTCTCTACATATTTTCTAAACAGAAAGGAGGTATTATCTTCACTTAGAACTTTGCTATTTGCTTGATATAAAGAATAGTTATATCTTTTCCTCTTTCTCCCTACTGCCACAAATAGTTATTAGTAGGTTTTGTGTCTTATATTGATAGCCAGTATCCAGGGCTCCAATGTTTGTATGTGTTTTTTGCATATGTTTGGGTTCCATTCTCACCCATCCTCACAACATATGTATTTCCCCTACTCCTACTTCCTCCAAATTTAAAGAAGTATGAAAATAAGATCCACCACTCCACCCCCAAGATTCTCTCCTTACAGATATAGACTTGGATGACTGGTAGGAACTTGAGAAATTTGTATCACCAGTTCTCCAAACATTTACCCATTTGTATTAATAAGATGGTACTCCCTGAAATTCCTGCTCTTGGGGAAGGGAGATCCCTGCTCTTCTCAGGTTTGGGCAAAAGTGGCAACCTCCTTGCACTGCAGGGGAGCACTGTGCCCCAACTTTTCTGAGGAAATTGGGGTTCACAGCAAGGGTACATAGATATCAAGGTGCTGCCTCCCCGCACTTTTATTTTTGAGGTCAGATTGAGCCTTGGAGACAGGTATAGTGGATGTTCCACTTTGTTCTGTTCTCTAAAAAGAAAATTTAATTTTCATTTGTAGGAATGAGGTTACTTCCTAGCCAGGTGTTTTATAATTCTGGGAAGCAAAACACCTGAATGCTTCACCCAAGGCCATTTTTCCTGTTACCCTGTTTAGATGGCAATGAATGTGTATGTGTGTGTGAAGCGGGGATGCTTTGATAATCTCATTACCCAAGGAACTACTGATGCTGACAGTCATGCAGACTGGGAGTGGGGAAATTGTATTTGTTTCCATCCTCCTCTTTTAGCAGTAAAATAGTTAAGGGGAAGTGAGGCAGTAAGTCATGGGAGTAGCTATGGCTGTTTTATAATTGCTGAAAAGTGATCCCCAGGTCTTGGGAACTCTCCGAGTCTTTAATACATTAGTGGGATTTTCATCACCTGTAGGAAACCAGTAGGTCCGTTTACTATTTTATGTCTAATCTATACAGACTTTTTTCTCCTTATACCTAAATGACCCTGCTATAAGAATGCTCATTCTTATTCTTTCATTCATATTGTTTTCTTCTTCTGGGCTCTAAAGGGATATGTGAAACAATGTTAAGAACATTTTTGGTAATGCCTTCAATTAGGGCTCATTTTGTTTAACTTCTTATAGGAAAGTTGAATAAAATAAATATCGTCTTTTTGTATGTCACCCAAATGTTTTCCTTTGGTTTTATTTTGGGGAAAGTGTTGTGAGGAGTGGGTGGCAGAAAAAAATTGGAGTTAAAAGAATAAATGTGAAAAATTCCAAGACAGCTATTTTATCTTACAGTCATTTATCATAAGCTTCTCTGCTGTTTTCAGTATGGCTATGTTTTCTCATATGGGCATGCACTTAGTTTAATATTAGTACAGCCTTTGCAAGCACCACCTAAAGTGACATAAGTATATGATAAATTGTAATTATGATAATTAAGGTAAATGGAGAACTAGTCCTTTCTAATATTAAGCTTAGAATAGAGTACAATATACTTAAGGAATCCGTCATGGTATACACAAAAGGGTACTCCTACTTACACATTAATTACATTTGTGACTAATGTGATTTGTGACTAAGAAAATCATTTCTCAATAGCTGTCCTCCTAAGAGACAGTGATATAGTTTCATATTTTCTATAATGACAGCAAAGTGGTTTGAATGTCAGAGGGTTTTTTCTCATTTGTGTTAAATTATAGGAGTGGGTCTTTAGCAAGACCACACTTGCTAATTACTCTAAGTCTTTACAGCATCCAAACCCTAGGGGTAGTGGATGCTGGTCTTAGGTTACTTGTGTTAACTATCTAGGATTATCTAAGAAGATTCTGGAAATCTACCTCCAGGTAAGTATAGTTTGTTTTATTTTTAATAAGAAAACTTTTGGTCAACACACTGATTATTATGGCAGAAATCAGTTAACAGGACTCTTGAGGTCGTATATCTGAGATCTATGGAAAACACATTCCTGTAGCAACAAACACGCTCACCTTATCTCAGAGGGAAAAGAGCCAGAATGATCTAAGCACACTGATTTCCAGAGTCTCTTTTCTTTTAAACCCTAATGATTAGATTAAGCAACTTTTTTTTTTTTTTTTTTTGTAAATACTGTGGCTAAATCTTGGCATGCTTTTATTTAAGCAAAGGAGGTTTACTGACATTTGAATGTGCTAGCTATTTTTTATATCAATCCCACGGTGATTTCTGCTTGACGGTTCTTTGGCCTTTAACTCTCTTTCCTAATGGCCACACTTTTAGTTTACCGTTAGCAACAAGTAAACAATTCACTGCTAGTTTTCAACATTTATTAGGTAGACCATTACATAAAAAGAGAAAATTAATAGTTACTGAATAGCTACTGTGTGCCAAGTTACATGTATGATTTCACTAAATTCTCATGTGAGTTCCATGAGATAGGTTGCATTATTATCTTAATTTTATAGGGGAAGAAGCAGACAAAATGATTGATTTATGTGTGCAAGATCACATAGCTACTAAATGACTGAGACGGAATTGGAAAGCAAATCAGCCTGACTTAAGAGCTTATGTAATATAGCCAGTGATGTATTTATTTGTCCTAAGGAGGCAAATGTTTCTACCTAAAGTAGAAACATTTCACAGTATTACCAAATTGCTGATTTACTTTTAACTGGAAGACTGTTTGAGAATTTAAATCATTTAATTGCAAAGTAAGCTTTTTATAGTATTTTAATATTCGTATGTGCATTTATTCATCCATGTGCTAGGCAATGTGCTAGGTACTAAGAATTTAGAAATGAATAAGATTCAGCTTAGTTATCAGGCAGTTAGTCTGGGGGAAGCTATTTGGTCAGAGGAAAGAAACCTAGGTTAGAATTAATGAGTTCCAAGGGACTTTGGGCAGGTATTTCTCCCTGTTTGCATCTGCCTTGCCATCTCTAAAATGAAGACGTTAGACTCAGCGATTTCTCATCCTGCCCAAGGCTCATAACAGTGACCATAAGTTATGGAGCTCATTTGGAAGTGAGGACCATGGAAGATCCCTTCTCTCTGGGCATCAGTGTTCTCATCTGTAAAATGAAGAGATTGGACTAGATTAGCTCTATTCTGACTTCCAACAAAAACTAAGATGACTTCTGTTTTACATATCGAGAAAACATGTTTACAGTCATCTCTTACTCTTGCTGCAGGAAGTAGTTAGCTATTAGCAGTTACTGCCAAAAATAACCAGACTAGGTCTTTTAATAAAAGAAATCAATACATTGAATGACCTTGTGGTCCATTCAAATTAGAGTTTCCACAAGGGCCCAGCCAAGGTTGTACCTAACAAATGTTTCTTAACAAGTTTTGCAGGTCGTTTTGCCTAGAAACATAAAAATGGATTTTGTATAATATAGATTGCTTGTATAATGACTACATTTGATACATTACCTAAAATGGTGTCCATTTGATTTCAATACTTGCAAATTTGATTATTGAATTTAACCTTGTGGTTTTTGGTTGATCAAAAAAAAACATGAACATAATTTAAAAAGTCACAGAGTACCACGAAACTTGTAAAAACAAACAAACAAACAAAAGAACCCTGCCACACCCCTCTTTGCCCTGATTCCTGCTCCCAGAAAAGAAGCCCAAACCTTAATTCCTGGAACCTGTGAAAATGTTATTTTACATGGCAAAAAGGACTTTTAAGATATGGTTAAGATTACAGACCCTTAAATGGAGAGATTATCCTGGATTATCTGGACTGGCCCCATCTAATTACTTGACCTCATAAAAGCAGAGAAATTTCTCAAACTGGAGGAAGGAGAGGAGGAGAGATCCAAAGTACAGAAAGGCGTCAAAGTGCTATTGCTTGCTTGAGGATAAAAGAGGCCATGTGGGAAGTATTAGAAGGAATGGGATCCTGCCAACAACCAGAAGGACTCTGGAAGCATCAGTCCCAGTGCCTCCAGATAGAATTCCAAGTTTGCCAACCCCATGATTTCAGAATCCGAGCAGAAAATTCAGTCATGCTGTGCTGGACTTCTTCTTCCTTTTTTTAATTGAATTTTTATTGGCCAGATTGGGAAGATAGAATCTATTTTTTAAAATACCTATAAAAGTATAATACGTGCACAAACTAACAGTCTTCAACAACATCTTAACATTTTTTTCAATCTTGTCACAATAGTATACATTTAAGATCTTAGCAAATAAGCAAACTTTTGTATGGTTTTATTAAGAAAAAAAAGTAGTATTTTGATCTCACCACATCCTTGATAGGTAAGAAATAGGAAGGAGTGAGAAATGAATAATCTAGTTGAAAAAAGCACTTTTATTAGTGGGGAAAGAAATATAATTTGGATTGTGCTGGACTTCTACAGAAAAAAAGTGAGATAATAAATTTGTATTGTTTTAAACTACTTTTAATGTGTTTAGCTGTTATTTTAGTGTATAACTCTTCTCAATAACACCCTAATACTTAATGATATTTTTTATTTTTATTTACATTTATAGAAGATGAGGAACTGGCTTTCTTATCCAACACACATGCATATGTCACATGCAGTCACAATTCTCTTCCACAAATACAAAAAATTTTGGTTAAAATATTCAACATTTGCATTATACCAGGGGTCCCCAACCCGCAGGCTGCAGACAGGTACTGGTCTGTGGCCTGCTAGGAACCGGGCCACACAGCAGGAGGTGAGTGGCAGGTAAGCAAGCAAAGCTTCATCTGTATTTGCAGCCGCTCCCCAGCAATAGCATCACTGCCTCAACTCCACCTCAGATCATCAGGCATTAGATTCTCATAGGAGCACTGGGCCCTGGTGCCAAAAAGGTAGTGGACTGCTACATTATACCATGTAATTATTGCTCACAGTTGATCTATGTAGAGTACCATTAATTATATTTCTTTTATTTTGTTTTTCCCAAATTGTCCCTTTTTTAGTTTGATTGTTTTTTCTGTGTACCTGTCATGAGTTTAGCCCCAAATTTTCTGACAGAACCATAAAACTTCACTCGGTATGGTCAGATATGTTAGGTAATCTATGAGTTCCATTTCTTTATCTTGGAGACAATGCTCATGGAGTTTGCTGCCCTCCTGATCCATTCTGGAATGGTTGCCCTCTGGATCTGCCACCCAGCTGTCATCCTGGGAATTCTCCTTGATACTCTTCTGAATAGATTCTATTTGCTAGATCTCAGGTTGTTCTCTTTCTTGCTTTAATGACCTAGTTTTGCTGGACCACACCCTACACTAACTTAAAAAGACTGAATGGGAGATAATTTTAATAAAACCCTCTGTGTCTGAATATATCTTCATAATGATTAAAATTTTCATTAGTTAAAGAATTCATAATTAGAAACAATTTCCTTTAAGAATTTTGAAGACATTATTCCAATATGTTCTTGTTCCTAGTGTTGCTTTTGAGAATTCTGATTTCCTATTGATTTCTAGTTTTCCATATGTAACTTTTTCTTTCTCTGCAAACTTTAAACGTTTTCTTTTGGCCTCTAGTATTTTAAAATTTAACAATGATTTTCCTTCTTGTGCATTTTGTTTCATTTACTGGCTGAGCTTTTGTGAGCCTTTTCAGTCTAAAAACTTGTCCTTCATTCTTGAGACATTACCTTGTATTATTTCTTATGCAATATTTTTCTTTCTATTTGCTCTAATTCTAGAACTCTCGAACTTCTAGTTGGATATTTGATATCCTGGACTGATTCTCTGATTTTAATCTCTTTCTCTCATGTTCCATTTAATCGTCTTTGGGTTCTACTTTTTGGGAGGGTTCCTTAACTTAATCTGAGTCTCAGTTCTCATCTGTAAATGGTGATAAAAGGACCTACCTCTTAGGGTTATTGCATGGTATCAGTGAAATAAACCATGTAAAGTGAACTTCAATAAATGGAAGCTGTGATTGCACATGCTGTTATTCTGGCACCAATTTCTTCTTTCTTCTTATGTGAAAATGACAATCTTGGTGGCAGCAATAAAGCTAGCTTTTACAATATTCTCCTATACCATCCATTAACCATTGTACTGAATTTATAATGGAATGACATTTTCTAATTGTGTTGTTTTAGTATAAATCTAGTTAGCGATATTAGAATGTTAGGATTTGAATCTCAACTCTTATTTATGATTCTAAAAATGCTTCAAATCAAAAATCAAAAGTAGTTTATTTTTCTTCCTATTTTTAAAAACTTTT